TTTGACAAATGCACACGTCTTACTAGTTAAGTTTTTTTTAAACGTTGTTGTAACGTTCGTGAATAGAATCAGTGTAAAATGTAAACATAGGTTTGTATTGTCTATATAGAATAAAATTGTCCTTCACAGTAACTAAATTGGACTAATAGGTTTAGAAGATATCGCGAACATAAACAATAACGGTAACCGAAAATCAGCTCGCAATCTAGAATATTACAAATTTGGAATCTGGCATCAGCAGATTTCTGTTATTACGTTGATTACTACTAAGTCAATACTTTAGGTAATAATTTAAAAAAGGGGCGAACGTAGATTTTGAATTTTTACAACTCCACACGGGCGAAGTCGTGGGCAACAGCTAGTATTTTTATATAATACTTTTATACATATTGATACCGTATTTGTTTACTATTGTAGTCCTTATTATGCGCCTCCCATATCCAGTTCAAATATTTTTCATTTCCCATCCAGTAAGCAGAGAAAAACATACCTGCAAACGACAACTTCTTTAAAATGTATTTCATTGTCTGACCGACTTCCCAAAATAAGGAGGTACTCAATTCGTCTGTATGTTTTTTTTAAAGAAATTGCAACACTGCTTTCAATTTGATATTGTAATATTATTACTATGCGTTGAACATCTCTTTAGTTTTGTGTGTTTATCTTACTAATGTAATATTATTTTTAAATAATACTATAAAACGAAATTTTAGATGGATAGATGTTTGTTAGAGTTTGTCGGCTAAACGGTTTAACGTCAATGAAATTTGGCATAGATATAGAGTTTAGTCCGGAGGAACACATGGGCAGCATTTTGAACTCCACGGAGACGGAATCGCGGGCGAAAGCTTTGTATATAATAATTGTGAAAGTTCAAATCATTGGTCCCACACTTTTCTTAGGGTAAAATAGGACAATGTGAGTTGGTAATGCGGGCCGCACATAACTTTCTTTTGAACTGACTTCCAAATGAAGGAGGCCTTCAATTCGTCTGTATTTTTTGTGTGTGTTATCGCATATCTTTGGCCCTGTGGACCAACTTCGATAATTCTTTTTTAATCCAAAGATAGTCGTTGTAGGTCCCATTTTTTTGTTTAATATTTGGAAGTCTACGGCGTAATTATGGAGTTCACCTCCAAAATGCACGACGAAAATGGAGTTATTTTTTAGTTGCTTTACTTACGTAGCCTAAATAAGTGTTGCATAAGTAATAAAAAGTATATTAATGTTTAAGTACTGAATCTTTCTTGACTGACACCGTCATCAAAGTAACATTAATTGTACAAATAAGATATCTATCGCCAGCAGTTTGAAGACTGCTGGTTTTAATGGATGAATGGATGTGTTTTTACTACGTATTTGCTTAATGGATCTTGCTGAAATATGGCGTATATGTAGAACATAATTTGGAAGAACACATAGGCTAGTTACTATTTTTTTTTAATTCTGTACGGGAGTCGCCGCCGGCAATAATTTAATTTAATTTTAAAGGTGTAAAAACTAATTTTGATTAAAAAATATGAATAGGCACACGAACCCCACAGAAGGATGAATGTTGCGAAGTACGGTGTATACTTATTATCGAATATGACAGTCATTGTATACCATTTACAAAAATAAGACATATAGTATAAGGGACAAGCTAATATCGTCGGCGATACATCAAAGCACCTAAAGCAAATATATTCTTTGTCGTTGTCACATACGGGTGCTCTGAAAAGTAAATGAAAACACTTCATTTTAAACATACACATAAAAACCTACTGATTAATAAAATAATCAATAAGAGATATTAAATTGTGGTAATTATATGTGGAGATATTAAATTGTGCGAAGATGTTAAAGGCTTTAACATCTTCGCACGAATAGGACGGCTATGCAGATGCAATACCACGACCACACAGAAGACAGGCGTAAAGTTGAAGCGATTTGCGTATCATCTCATGACTGTGTGTTCCAGAGGCCTAACTTTAGTGATTTTCTTTTCCTATTCTTTCTGTATAAAAAATGGAGTGGATGGAAAGACGGAGAGCGCATAGTAAGTTGAAACATCCTCTTTATGTGCTTCTCCTGCTTTGTCGATTAAGGGTAGGCAAAGAATCTGCAATTGCAGGTGTCTATGGCCATCCCTTCTCTTTTTCGGCGAATTTTGGTGGCCTCTTGTCCGTTTGTTCCTTTTTTCAAATAAATAAAAATCAAATGTAAGTTTGATAATAGTCAATATTTATTTATAAGAAGTTAAAATTAACAATTTTCGCTAGGTATCGCTAACTTTTGGAACCGTGTTCAAAACGGAAGAGGTGCTCTTTTTGTCTATGTTTTTAACACAAGATCAAATATCAGGAGCCAAGGATCGATAATGTTGAATCAATCTTTAATTCGAAGAGCAGTGCTAATAAAAAGCAGTTGTAAAAATCAATCAGACCTGTCTTTTTTTGGATGTGGGTTAGAAAAGATATTTGTTGCATTTTAGCCGTTGATATATAAATCAAGAACTTACCTCAAATTCATGTAGTTGTCATTACAATATATAGCTAAGAAGAATGTTAAAAGAGCTACTATAGACGCAATTGCTAGAAATAGATTGTAAAGTCCGTAATAAGCGAAGTACAGGGCAACCTGAATAAAGATGAAATATAAATACAATACATCGCTCGTAATAGAAATATGGAATGGAAGAACTATTAAATCGACGGCAGCAAATAACACAAAACACTTTCATCATCACTGGCTCCCATATGTCCCCACTGAGGGGCTCGGAGCCTCCCTCAAGTTAGGGGTGACTAAGCCGTAGTCAACCAAGCTGGCCAAGTGCGGGTAGATTGGTGTTTTCCTACACCGTAAGAACGTCGGGTAAATTATTTACATACAAAATTGGGAAAATCACATTGGTACAAGGCGGGATTCGAACTCAAGACCTGTAGATTACAAGTCAACTGCTTAAGCTCCTGAGCCACCGCGCTATGTAACGATAAAACGCTTTATTTGCATTTAATGGTACAAGAATTATGTCGCTGTGTTAACGATATTTGTAGTTTTTCTAATGTGCTTATTAGATGTTGCTTTTCTTACAACAGAAAAAAACAGTTGTTTAACCGTCTAAAAATACGATTATCTGTAAAACAGTAGAATCTATGTTGTAGCTGTAGTAAGGCGGGGTCAAGGAGCGGTTTGAGTAGTCCTCAACTTATCTTATTCATAAAGGGGAGGCAAAGGAAAGCAGGTATTAGGGATTCATCATTTTTTCAAAAATTTTCTACTATGAAGATTATGTCACAACTTACCTTGAGTCCGAAGTATTCATGCACCAAGGTTAATGGCTGTCTGGTAAACATATTGGTCATACCGGCCCAATTATAAAACAGGATCTAAAACAATAAAAACTCTTCAATGAACCATAAGTGCAAGTATTTTTGCTCAATAAGTAAAAAAGAAAAGTAACTAATAAAAAACCAAGTCTTTTTGTCGAAATGTCATTAACTTTCATACCTTACACCATGTGGTTAGATACTGTGGCTGCATACGAGGATATGGACATATCCCTGTATGTTTGTATTATTTACCTTAGTATCATCATCAACTCACTATATATGTCTCCACTGCGAGGCTCGGAGTCTACCCGAGTTTATTGAGAAAAGTTAAAAAAATAGCTTTTTAGGCTTTGAAAATATTAACTTTCATATGTTTTGTATGAAGATGTTTCCCTCGACTGTTTCTAGTCGTTATACCAATTTCGTTACTTTATCTTCATGACAAACAAACGAAAGGCGAAACATTTATTATTTGTTTTCATTTTACCGACATGGGTGTAGTTTTTGAAAATACTAGTAGAAAAAGTTGGTGTAAAAAAAAATAATCACAGCTTCCCAAAGTTAAATAATCATTTTATTTCAAGGAAATTTTCAATATTTTTTTTTAATTTGTTCTCCTGTGATTGATTTAAAAAAAGGAATAACGGACCAAAAGCCTAATTATTAGGATTGTTAAAAAAAAGATCACTGTAACCATATTACTTTGGATGACCGGGCAATCTTTAGTCGGAAACCTGATTTTTACGATTTTTTGGCAAAAAATTAAATAACTTTAAAACTATAGAAGATCGGGCAACATACTTTGCGCTTAAATTGTAGCTATTGAGGTCCTCTAACCTCCTCCTATCAATCCTAAGAAATAGACCACAACATAGTCAAGGAACAAGACACTTTGAAGTGTGTGTGTGTTGCACAATGTGGGCGACTGCCTACTTTTCCCATACCTTTCTCTACCTCTGCATTGATGGCACAGCATTGTTGGTTAACAATGGTATTTCAATGCATTTGTTCATATGGTAGCGCCTTTACAACGAGGCGATTTTTTATACAGAGCAGTGTTGCATTTTGAGTATTGTGCGAATATAACAGGATTGCTTTTAAAGCGTTTGTCGCTGGACAGCCGCGAACGCCGTGTTTTAATGACATTAAACCAGCGCCTACGCAAGCAGGTATTTACCAATTTTTTTTTCCTGTAAAATAATTTTGAATCGAGAAGAATACGATAAGATACGATGGTTTAGATTCATAGTTTTTATGTATCTTGGTTTGATGGTCGTAATCTTTTTTTTTTATAATATAAGGTGGCAAACGACTAAGCGGCCACCTGAATCCACGGAAATGGAAAGCGACCGCTGCTCATAAACATCCGCAATTGCAGATGCGTTGCTTACTAATAATTTACGGAGGAAGAGACGCACATAAAGAGGACATTTCCCCTTCCTATGCATCTCCACCACCGTCAAATCCACTTTACCTTCCCATCCTTTCCTCTTAAGAAAAGGGTGGAAAGTGAAAGGAACTAAAATGAGGCCTCCGGCACCACACTCATCAGACGAAACACGGAATTGCTTCCACTTCACGCCTGTTTTCTGTGTGGTCGTAGTATTACACCAGTCCATTCATGCGAAAATGTTAAAGCGGGCTTTACCACTGTTAAGCTAGTTTGACATTACCTGACGAGCATTAATTCTTGAAACGTCTTGTGGAATGTAGTACGGTCCGTCATGCAACGCGTATGCATCTACCACAATATTGCGTTTCATTAGCCTATAAACATTTTTTAGATCAAAAAATTGTCATAACTTTGTCATTAATTTATATAGGTACATTAAATAAAGCGGCTCTTACCTTTCCAGCCCTATATAGTTTTGTCTGTCTCCAAATGGAACGTTCAGCAATGCCATATAAACTACGAGGCTTCTCTCCAAGCTCGAGTATTGTAATGGTTGAGAGTACTCTTTTCTAAGAATAATTACGATATTACATTGTATTCAGTTCACATAGAATTTATAAAAACTTTTTACTTCGTCAATATGTACCTTATTAAATTTATCCACTGGCGTTCTTTGTGTGACATTATGTGTTCGGATCGAGCACTCTGAACGCATTTCACCCCAAAAGCTTTTCCCAGATTATTGAGAACATCATTCGGGCAATGTACTTTAAAAAATACTAGCTTCCTGTGAATTGGCAACTAAAATAAGCAGAGACATAAGTAACAATCGCAGATATGTATGAGTAAAAGGACATCGCCAATAAATGAGAGCTTTGGGAGATTAATAAGAAAACAGTTACTTACTACACCATTTTCAAATTCAATTTCAAATCCAGTTTTAACAATGTTGGTGAGAAAATTATTTTTCATGATGTCACTTATGATGTTTTCCTCATCTTTCACGACTAGGATCAGATCAATTTTACGAACGCCATCTCTGAATGTTCGTCCTGCATTACTCTTTAGGGGCAAAGTACTGTCGTTTGAATCTGACGTTGCACCGTTTTCTGCTTCCTTCATAAACAAAGGTTTGGTTACAGGTTCTTAACTTTTCATTGAAATAAATCGGTACTAATGTTACTTTAAATGCCCAAATCATACTCGTACGTTTTACAGTAATGTACCGTAAATATGTACGCTCTTTTTTGTGTATTAATAACCACTTATTGCTTACAACCAAGCCCATTATACGTCCCCACTGAAAGGTTCGGAGCCTACCCTAAGATATGGTGACTATGCCTTAGTCAACCACGCTGGCCCAGTGCCTGTTGGTTGACTTTACACACATCATGGAATTTCTTCGCTGATATGTGCACGGTGGACACATTGACACCTACGCTGTCGGGCATCCACACCAACGTATACTCTAGCCTACATCTTCGTTGATGCCAACGATGCAGGAACTTACGCAGCCTAGCATAGAGGATCCGCATCCTATCAATCATCTTCATTCTTAGGACCACATCCCGAGGACACTCCCAAAGAACCTCACACCTGCTTGATTCGACGAAAGTCATAT